GGGGTCTAGTTTCTGCATCTATGCTAAAGTTATCTTTAAAGATTTCCCAGATTCTTTCTTGACACTGTCCAAACGATTTTATTTTCAGGTAATCCCTCTCTAATTCCATTCCAAAGGCCTAACCAATTAAGATGAGTTCCATTTCGGCTTTCGCAAAAAAAGGAAAATGATATCCGACTTAACCCGAAAAGTCCATTAAAACACATGAAAATACATTTTCGGGCCAGTGTCCTAATGGCCAACGTGCCACACACACTCGCACTTGCAGATGCAAAAATGCTTGAACGAGGCAGGGAAAAATGGAAAAAGGTGAGCTCACACACACAGGGAAAGCTCCTCAATTTACACTAGCTCACACACATACATACGCATTAGGCAGAGGTCCAACTCGGGAAAAAAAAAGAAAACAACATTCACACGTGCGAAAATGTAACAATTTACAAAAGGATATGCCAAAAGGGACACGGCCACACACACACACACATAACACGAACGCCGAAGGATTCGCACTGGAGATGGCCGTAAGTCTGTGATTTGATCGAGGCAAACGCCAGAAAGTCACGTCTCATGCAAATTAGTAACTGAAGAAGGTCCTCCCGACGAATGTCCTGTCGCCAACTGACCCAATTCCAGCTTCAGCAAAGCAATTTAAGTGAAATTTGAGAAATCTTACTTGGGTTTTCTCCACACTTAACGTGCGAATTATCAGAGGTGCGAGTCTGTCACGGCGCCGAGTCGTGACTCTCCTCACATCCCTAATGCAGATGCGTTGCCTCGCCTTATCCCTTTCGGTCGTCGCTCTTTATTTTTATTTTGCTTTTTACTTTTGTATGTAAATGTTTGAACTGTCTGCACGAGTGCCATGAGGATGAACAGCTTCAACAAACGGCGGCAAAGCCGGCACAGGCGAAAGGGGTCAGCAGTTCACACAAACACGTAACATAATACACACAAGTCCACAGTACACCCGTACGTATACGCAATATGCCTGCATTAATATGCAAATATTTGAGAGAGCACATTTTTGACTTGGCTATAGCTAGCCCCCCTCGGCGTGCATCTGGTTCCCTTTGTTTCTGTTTCTGTCTAGGTTTTGTGTGTTCGCCATTTGGGGGCATTTTTCATCACATGTTTGCCTATGGGGAAATCTCTCTCGATACGCTAAATTCAAATTTGCATTTACTTAATTTAGATTACACAGAACCAGCACCGGACCAACTTTTGGGGAAGGTTTTATAGCATTGATTTGTGCTTTATTTTATTACAGGAATAGAAAACTCATGGTGTGAGCGGAGATAGAAATGGCTTTCATAAACAAAGGTTGTAATGCAAAACAGGGAACATGGTTTTCCTTTTAGGGCTTTACACACCTGTCTTGATTACTGTTTTAGAAATGACTTCTGAAAGTCTGTGTCATTTGTTAAGCTTAACAAAAGAACAAGAAATCTTGTTAATGAGTGAATTAATAAGGAATTTTTAAGACTATCTTTAAGTAATGACCCTTTGCAAAAATATCTCACTTCCCTTTTTACCTTTCTAGTTCGATTATATTCCTTCTACGACAAAGTTACCTCCCTTATGGAACCTAATGGCCACTTCTGCCTTACACCAAAAAGGTGTTACTAATCAAGCAACAAAGTTAGTACCGTGAACAAAGTAAGGCGGTGTCGATGGAATTTAGTGTGCATTAGAGGACGTGGACTTAATGCACTCGAGCGTTTCATGTTCGATTTGCTGGCCAAGGCCAAGAGCCAGGTCAGGTGGCAGCAGCGATGCAACAAAGGCTGCCAGAGCCTCGGAGCACGTCTGGCGGTCTGTTTGAAGCGTGAAATCGATCAGCCCCCAAACCAAAGCAAACCCCAGCCATCGCCACCCATCCCATCCCATCTCTTCATCTCAGCCTTGTTTTGGCAGCATCCGTGTCAGTGGCAATTGAATTTGCTTTGCCACCCCATACCTCCCACTATATAACCGACTTTATAAACACACAGAAAGAATTATTGTTCATTAATATACTTTGAAACTAATATAATTTATTCATGTAGATATGGTTAATAAAGAACATCGAAAGATGTCCGGCTAAAAATAAATTTTCAAAAAATTTGTTTCTTATAAATGTAAAAGGTCAGTATGCACGTTCGTTAGTCCTAGACACAGAAAAAATTTCCGAATTACAATTAATGTATTCTTGCCACAGTTATGATATTACAAAATCTTTTATTTACCCAAAATATTACCATATAACATATATTGATTTTATATACTTATTTAAGGATTCCTTTAAGGTATACAAAGACTAAAAAGCCAATGGTTGTTGCAATTTAAATCCAATCGCAGCCATGTTTTATTCTTTATTGATAATGACTTTGCCAATACACTGGATAAAAAAAATGGTTATTGTATTTTTTTAATTTTGTAAAAGGAACATCATTAAAATTGTCAAAAGTTCCTACAACTTTGTCTTTGCAAATTCGAATGTTTTATCCTAATACTAACTGCCAGGGTTGTCAAAGTCAGCTTCATTTCTTGATTTTCACATAATAAATTAATGAACTAAGTAAACCCTTTTTTTTGCTCTGTACTCCTCGGGGGCGGGGATGACAGAGGGGGCTCCGATTTTGATGGCGCTTAAGTTGCAAGTCGCTGCGCCCCACTTTGCTGCTAACTGCACATTAAACGGCTCGATAGCAAAAGCTCCACTCAACCAAAGCGAAAGCTCCTCGAGCTCACTCACACTGTAATCATTGGGGGCTTCCCTCCTTTTGCAGCCCCCTTTCATTTTCCAGTTCTGCCTGGTTTTTCTGTCCTTGTTTGATTTTCCACTGCCGTTTGCTGTTTATTTTCTTGCTGCAATGTTTTCTTCATTTGTTTCCGTTCACTTCTTTGTTGTCTCCTACATGCCCAAATGTAATTATCGTGGGAATAATTTCGGTTTCTTTTTTTTTCGATGCCTTGTTTTCCTTTGTTTTGGTTCTCGGCTCTGTCCACAATTGAACCCGCAATTGATTGGGCCTTTCTTCTTCAGGGGGAGTGAAAGGAGACAAGACCTCGGATTGGATGGAAAAGGAGGTCTACGAAATTGCCTGCCTGTGTGGAACTTTCAACTTTTCCCAAGGAGGGTTATGTTTTAAAATTTGACAACTTTTCATATTTTCGTATTATAAAGCCACAACCAACTATGTTTTTATTATTTTTAAACTTTTTTAGTTGCCAATTTGAGTTGTATAAATCCCCTTTGACACTATTATTCACCATCTCTGGCCTCACAAAGAACTGAAAATGACAGAGTTGGCCTCGGGGAAAAAGTTGGCATCATTTATGGTTGAACAGCACAATAAACAACTTGTCGGCGGCCTTGCAACGCATACCAAATAAGGCCCGGAAAAGTGCATATATCTCGCTTAGCACTGGGGCACTCTGTTCTCTATCTCCTACCAGAGATTCACATTCGCACACTTGTCGCTCATAACTTCATGGTAATGCAATTTGCGTGGCAAGGTGCAAAAAAAAGTGGCCAACAAAAAACCAGAAATAGAAAATACTTCTTTTCCTCTTAGCCACTTTTCTTCTCTCTCTCTGTCAGTTTCCTACACTTTTCTTTTCCTTTACATTTCTTTCCTTCTTTTGCTTTTTTTGGGTCCGGGTCAAATGCAATTTGAACGGTGAAATTTTGTGCGGAGCTAAAAGGAAAATGCCTGGGAATGTGCCGAAAAGGAGGCGACGAGCGGCAAAAGAAAAACGGAACCGCATTTGAGCCCTTTTTATCGAGCAGAAAGTGGAACACAGGCGCACACAAAGCTCCGGCGCGGGAGAGAGATGGCGATTGAGGAAAATTTATATAGCCATGGAGATAGGAATGAAGATGGTAGCTGCAGTTTCGGCTGTCGTTGCTGTTGTACAAAGTGGAAAATGTGGTTAAAAACCGCAATACGAAATAAATTACTTTTTCTGCTTTGAGCTGCAGTCCGAGACTCGGCGTCCTTGTCGTTGTCCTCCTACTCCTCCTTCTCCTGCTTGTCCTGATCCCGGACCACTTGCCTGCGACTTACTCTCTCTCTCTCCATTGCAGCTTGAAATTGAAAGCTTCCGTTTGGGGCCAGGCCCAATGGAAAGGCCATTTAGCCACCCACCCAGAACGCAATGCCCACTGTGCCCACTCCCACTGTGCCCGCTGTACATTAGGCCGCAGTTCGCCATTGCTCGCTTCCGTTTTCCGCCAGACGCGCGCCCATTGTCTCTCAGTCTCTGAGTCTCCCTGCCGCCTCCATTTTGTATTTCCCCTTAGAAAATGGCGACCCAAATGCTGGTCAACTTAAAGGCCGCTTTAAGGCAGCCATTGAGCCATTTCGTCGGCCTATTTGTCGCTCGCCTAATTTGAATTATGGCCATCAAAGAGTGATTAAACTTGTTTGCTCCGCTGGCTTAATGCCCGGAGTCTGGCCCGAGTCGCTTTCTTGGCAGACACATATGCCGTACTTGCCACAAAGTTGCAAGGTTATTTGGCTAACGCAACCTTTTGTCTGGCTGAGAGAGTTCCTTGGCCCGAGGGGCGAAATTTAAATCTCGCCAAGTTTTAGCATGTGTTGGGGGAATTTCAAATTTGTTGATTTTGGTGAATACTTCGAAGTCATGGGCATAGTTATTTAACTAAGAATAAGGATGCACTGATTATAAAGTGATATTTATTATATGAAAGCAAGACAGGGAACTAACTTCGGAAAAGCCAAAGTTTCTATTACTTGGATCAGGATATCAAGTTTGATATCGATTCGATATTAGAATATTCACAATTATAATTACAATGTACATTACTGAATTTAATATATATTTCAATACATTCTTGTAATACTATTTTAGTGTTACATGAAAATAAGCTTTTATTTATATATTTCTATTGCCAAGATATATTTGGTAATCCTATTCTTAGAGTTTCCATATTCCAACTACACATCAATAATATATCGATTACAGGAATCTAAGATACTTCTCTCTAGGGCTATTTGACATTCAGAACTTCACTGGAAACTTTCTTTCACTTTGATTTTGCTTTTGCTTTCGACTGGTTCTTATTAAGCTGAAATATTATTCAAAGTAAGTCTAAATATTTCCTATTACACATAGGTTTCTATAATCCAATCCAATATCAGGATGGCCTACAAAATGTACCGCGGCACCACCCTGGGTGAGACTCTGCAGGAGACCCTGGACTATTTGGTTCAGTTTGGGGACTTGAACCCTAACCTGGCCGACGATGTGCTGGATCAGTACGACCGCAGTGTCAACCGGATCTTGCGTCACAACGATAAGCCCCAGCTGACCTTCAAGGCCGACAAGCTGGATGTCTATAGATTCTGCGACAAGGTCTGGGTCCTAATGCTCAAGGATGTTGTCTTCTACGAACGCGATGGACGTGAGAGACGTGAGATTTTGAACGTGGCCAAATTGAAGGTTGTGTCCTGCGAGACCAGAATTGGAATGTAAGACCATCTGACTGATTAAATAAAATGCAAGGCCATTAAAAGGTCTTGTAATTTTACAACTCAAAAATTGCAATGCATTAATTACTATTTATTTGACATTTCTCACATGGCATCCTTTATAGAATATACTTATTAAAGCATTTCCAACCTTTAATTACTATGATCTATTATAATGAAGCATAAGTCAAAACTCCATCTTCAAATTCAATTTCAATTAGCATTCCTTAACCTTTTTCACCTCCATCCAATGCTGACAAAAAACAATTTCATATTAGATGGAAATAGTTTTCGAACACATTTCAGACAGCGACACAAAAGGCAACAATGGCATTTGTGTAAACCTAAAGAAAAGTGGCATTAAGGCAAAAGAGCGCTAAGTGGCCAACTACATACAATTACGATTACAGGGCCCCGCCGACCTTTCGACCCTGACAACTACCATCCACCGCGTTGCGTCGACAGTTTTCTATGACAATTGTTTGGCCGGTCAGCCATTGTTGGAGCAAAGGAGCAGCGGCAGCGGAGCAGGATGCTGGGGGAGATGGCCGGGAAGTTGCGACAGTTGCCATTTATTTGCCGTTTGCATTCAACGAGGCTGATGAATGGCCATTTGAAGTAAGCGCAGCGCTCACCGAGATTACCTTAAGTATGCGGCAATTGCACAAGCAGCTTAAGGACAACGTCGTTTGCCAGCTGCAGGCGAAGGAGCCTGGAGGAGCGGGAAAATACGAAGGCGATAGTCCTGGAGCTACAATGGGCGATGGTGATAAAATAAAGTACGCCTCACGCACCCTTACCCATAATTTATGCAGTTGGTCGAGCTGAATTTATGGCCTACAAACAAAAGACAGCTGCCCGAGGGCGCTAAGAAAACTATGTGGACCAGATCCACCCTCTCCCAAATGGACACTAAATAAACGCCAATTGATGATGCGTGAAAAAGCCAAGTTGACAATTTTAAACTGTATCGAAAGCAGAGCGTACGGGGTGCGGAAACTAAGACAAAAGTCGGGCTTTTTAAGTTATCAATATAGGGGATTCTCCCCACCACCCAGAGGAGTCACATTTATCATCATCGAAAATTTGCTAAGCAGATGGGCAGGAGTTCTGGGGGCGACAACGATGAGGATGAGCTGAGCCCTCGGGCCTCCATTTGTTTCCATTTTGTGCTAACGTCAGCAGGTCGACTGCTCTGGAACAATGGAGACACAGATTCCCAATCCGAATCCGCATCAGGATCGGCAGGAAGGCAGGCAGAAAGGCAGAAGGCAAAGGCAGTCAGGCAAAGTTGGCTATGGCAACGCACGAAAGTAGGCAGCGGAAGTGCAAGTGCCGTTGCATTGACATTTCCGCTTCGCAGCGCTTTTTGGACACATGGCAGAGGCAGTGGCAGAGGCAGAGGCAGAAGCATCGGCCTCAGGATAGGAGCAACTGAGGAAGGTTCGAAGGCAACTTGCGAAAAACTTTTGCTCCGCTCGGCAGTTTCCTCGCACCCGAGGGGTTTTTCCAAAGTCCGCATTAAACAAAAAAAAGGGAAAGAAAAACTTTTGCTAGCTTAAAATATTAATGCAGGTTCATTTAATAAGAGGCTCTTTTGGAATTACATATGGAAAACGTTTAATAATACATTTTTGAAAGGAACTTGAAGAAATTAATTATATTATTTTGTGTCCTTTTAATTAAAGATTTAAGTTCAACAAGCAATTAAATAAAATCAAACATTTCCGCTGTCAAAGCAACAACTTGCCCTAATTTCTCGCTTTGATGTGCTCTTTCATTAACTGCTCAAGGCAAACTTCTTCACAACTACAAAATTTCCTTGAAATTTGTATCGTTCTTGCTTGAAATATTACTGAAATTATTACTGTGCCAAATTGCCTTAAAATGGCAGAAACAACTGGACAAAAAATAAGGAACAAAATAAAAATTGAAGAAAAAAACACAAGTCAGCCTTGAAGTTTTCTTCATTTTGGGACGACAAAAGCCAACATCAAATGAATCTTCATTGTTTGACTTTATATAGATGGCAAGGAGGCGGCGTTTGTGCAACTACTTACAGCTGGCAATGATTGTTGTTCGAGCTGAGCAGCAATGAGACTGGGGATTATAGAGTTATTTTACAGGACAATGACGAAGGACGAGGCGGCGGCGTCTGGGGCGGGCATTATCTGGCGCGTTTGCTGTCCCCAGACATTCGAGTGCATCTGCATTTTCTTCAGCTGCCCGCTTGTTGTTTGCCGGACGGAATCCGGACCAAATCCGGGCGGAATCTGGATCTGAATGGGCCACTGGTGATGGTGCTGCTGTTGCTGCTTCTGATACTTCTACTTGTGCCACTGTTGTTGGCTCTGCTCTTGACCAGCTCGGTTGGCCGTTGTTTGTGAATTTTCGCATCACGTGGCACTGACAAAACAATGGGGCCGGCAACAGCAAAGTAGCCAAATGGCAGCTGTCTGGGGCCCACACTTTCATTATCATCCTTTTGAAACCCACAAACCCAATCCCGTTAGCACTGAGAAAACGAGGAAAAATAATTACTTTTTATATTATAAAAATACTAATATTGAGTGGCAATAATTTCTCCAAATATTTATAGATATCTAAAGTACAGAGAATAATTAATTAGAAGATGTATTCTAATTTTAATGGGAATTAGTATTTGATTTCTTTCTCTGTTCATCAGCTCAACTCATTCATTTCGTCTGAAATTTTTTAGCTCTTTCACTTGGCGACAATTTTTTGTTGCTCCTGCTGTTGTTGCTGTTTGTCTGTGCTCGCGTTGCTTAATTAAAAAGTCATCATAATTTTGTCATTTTGTGCTGCAGCTGCTGACGATGCAGAGGGCGGAGGGCCGACTTTGTTGTAATTTTCTAAAGCTAATAAAATTGCTTTGTAGCTGAAGTGGAAATAAAGCATTTTAAGTGCTTTGGCGCTTATCGCCGACGAAGCAGTTTCCAAATTGAACTCAATGCACTTAGGCACATCCAGAGCCCCCGAAGAAAAGTTAAAGGACTTGTTGAAAATTTTATGACATTTTACAGCTTGGGACCGGGCACGGCGGGCCATTAAAATGTTATAAAGCAAAATTTAAGCACTTAACTTGATATCTCGCAATCTCAAAATCTTCATCTATGCGAACAAAGCATGGGTACCACCAACCGCCAAAAAAAAGTCATTATACTGAAGCCCATATATTAAACCAGAGAAAAGTCTTGTTTGCATTTAACAATTAACGGACTTGAAGGAATCCCAAATAATCCGCAAGAACTGGAACTTTTTTGAAATTGTTCAATTGTCTGTGTGAAAAATGTTGGTGCATTAATAAAGTCGTTAGCTTAAGGGACATAAACGCGGCAAGAGCTAATAAACTCCTTTGACTTATGGGGCAGGTAATCAGTGATTTGAAAAGAGAATCTCAAACATTAACAAAGTCTAAATCAGGTGATTAATCCAATTTTAATGAGTGCAATTGAATAAAATCGTTAAAAGTACAGCTTATACCAGAAGGGAAGTTATAAAAAAAGATTTAAAAGTTATAATTCTGTTAAGAATGTTTAAATTGGTAATTATTAATGTAGTTTTTGGAAATAAAATATTTCTTGACTGAACAACTACATCTAACTGTTGCAACCATTTTACATTACAATTGCATTACTTTTCGACATATATTTTCTTTAGTAAAGAGAATATTTTATCCATTTTTATCCAACTTTGGTGGTAATGAAGACACGCTCTCGATCCGCATCCGTACTCGCTTTGGGCCAGAGTCATACAAAAAATTGAGTTATGACCCAAAGTTGGTTCCTAGATCCACATCGAGACCCATACTCGAGAACCCTTTTAGCTTCGGGCCATCCGTTACATGAAAAATGTGCAACGAAATTTAATTGAAGTTATTGCACTGCCAAAGCCGCAGTCGCAGTCGGAAAACGCAGGGGAAACTTTCAGCTGGCACATGCATCGTGCTAGCAGCACCCACCTGGCGTATGCGTAATAATATTTTGCAGTTCCCAACGTATTTTGCATAATTTCCACTTGCGAAACTTTCACCGCACAAACAAAGAGTAGCTGGCGAGAAGCGAAAATACGAGCGGTCTGCCAGAAAATAAAGGAAGAAAGAAAGAAGTCAAGTTAACAAACAGAAAATTAAATTTCAACTAATATACATTTTTTAAGCATCCAGCAATTGCAACAAATTACAGTGGTGGCACAACAAAAGGGAGCGGGAGCCACAACTTGAAGTCCAAAGACATTTGGCACTTGAGCAGCTTTCGGCGGCATTCCATTGTTGCAGCTGAGAGTGACTTTTGCTTTTCTACATCCCTGCCACATGTTGAGTGGCAGAAAATTGTGTCACACACAGCGCCCACTCGCCCAGCGGGTTGGTTTTTCCTGGCAAGCATTTACTGGGGGCTGGGTGGAGATTCCAGGAGGGCGCGCCACGCGTAGCATGAAATTTGCATAAATTAAGGAGCGCAGAGTCAGCGCTGCCAACAGTCGCTCCGGGGAAAGAAGTAAGAAACCCCAATAAGTTGTTTAATTTTCCGTAACGATTTTATAGCTCTCGCTAACTTCGCTTACTTGTTGCATCCCAGAGTCTTAGTCCTTATTATAGTGCTCTTCTGCAAATGGAAACTTGAGGACCAAAAGGCATTGCTTCTGCGGCAACAAACTCTGGAAAAAAAATGCCTTAAAGTCTAATCTCCGCGGTTGCTTTAAGCATTCTTTCTTGAAGTTTATATAAAACTGTTTTCGATGCTTTGCGTGTTTACCTATGTTTATCAGCAATCTCTTTATCCGCACTCAACTATTGAGTGAAACTTCAACACTTCCCCCCAGCAAACTTAGCAGCCTCTGTGAAAAAAAAACTTTATCTGCGATTTCTTTAAACAAAATCAAGCAAGCTGAAAGCTAAAGGTAAAAATGTGGGGAAAAAAACGTCCCAAGAAAAGAGTTTTTCGTTTGCCTTCCTCTTTTGTGTGTGCCGCACATTAAACGTTTTTCTTAACACGAAATGGTATTTTCAAAAGCAACAGGCTGTGGAGTATTTCCCAGAGAAAT